GCCGCCGGGGAGCGGGGGCAGCAGGTTAGGATGCGCGCTACTTAAGGTCCAGCTGCGAGAGCTATTGACGTGTTTGGAGCTGGAGACTGTTGGGTCCCTGGCGGAGCGGCACCTCGAGGTGAGTGATCCCGCCACCCTCCTTCCGTGGCGCCTGCAGGGAAGGGGGAATCGAGGGCTGCACCCGAGCCGCCACGGGACCTCAACACACTTCCGCGCGAAGCTGCTTCCACCAGGCCTCGCCGCGGCGCGGGCCCCTGCCCCTTGCTTCTCCTCCCCGCGATGCGGGTCTCTTCGGGCCGGGGACGAGGAAGGTGACCCGCGCCCGGGCCACCCCAGCTGTTTCTCCAGCCTCCTTCCCAGCCTTTGAAGCGTGATCGCCTGCACCTACACCCAGTTTCCTGCGTTGTCCTCGCCCCCTGCCCCTCGGCACCGTCGAAGGTGGAAGCAAGGTGTGTTCACCTGTGCCCGCCGTCCACGGTTCGACGGACTGGCTGCATCGCGGATGGCAGCGAGGTCTCGGGCTTGCATCTCTCCGGCTTCTCCATTCGATTGCCCGCCTCCCCCCGGTATGCCACCCTGACTTCCTGACCCTGTCTCTCTGCACCCAGCGGTGGGTGACGGGCTTGAGGTCCTCACAGGACATTTCCCAGCTCCCCGCGAGTTGCATCCGCGCGTTGTCAGAACCACAGAGCCTGCCTTGGCTCTGACCAGCCAGGGGCCCTTCCCCCGTCCCTTTCAAAGCTACTTGGAGAGTGGGGATGTGATGGGAAGGAAATCAAATACGTTTGAAGGCAGGCTGCCCTTTAGGGGAGATTTTAGAGTTGTTCCTCAGATATGCTTGTGAGGCCCTTCCTTCTACTCTTTGGTTTTCTCTCTGGTAGGTAGAGCTGAGAAACGTTTGTCTGCAGTAAGTAGACGAGGCCTCTCCCTAGCGGAACACTTGATCTTGCCCTTCAGCCCGCTCCTCACTGTGAATGGACATTTCTAGTTGACACCTGAGGGATTTATGCAAAGAAGGTGCCATTTGGAAGTCCAGACTTAGACGGACGTGTGTTTAGAATTCGGAGAGGAAAGGAAAGGAAATGGGAATAAACTCATGCTGCAGACTTAATTCGGGTACATGGGATGTCATCTAGGTATTATTTCTAAAGAACCCCTAATAATGATGACAAAATGGAGAGTAGGACGCTTTCACAGAAGGCATGCAACCTGACTTTTGTCTGCGTCTGATCGTTGTTGAGATTATGTCCGAGGAATGTGAACAGCTAAGCAGAGGTCTGTGTTCTCACGCCATAGGATAGATGCAAACAGCAAGGCTGTGCATTTAGTACCATCATTTCCTCAAGGAAGTCAAGCCTGGAAAAGAACTGTGTTCAGTAGACGAAGACACTTCTAGATATTTTCGAACAACATCTTGAATATCCCTTTTGCCAAGATGTTTTTGTTAGCCAGTTATATTCATGTACTGTTCTATGAAAATCATTAAAAAAAAAAAAAAAAAAAAAAGGATTGCATCGTGGGTACGAATAGTTAAAGGACCCCAGAATGACTAAACTCTTTTCCATCCTTCTTTGCAAAGGTTGGTCTCTTTTAGCCTGGACAGCCTGATCATTCCATAATCGAAGAAACCAAACTAGGTGACTCTTGATTTGAGAATACCTCCACTTTTCAGGAGCTTGTGGGGTTTGATTATTTTTCCTGAATGTATTTTTTTTTTAACATGGTATATTTTTTTGATGGTCCCATCTTGGGCAATGAAAGTAGAAACCATTTCATACGAAAATCCTGACCTCTGTCTGGTTATACTGACTTAGTTTTTTATTCTGTGGCATTTTGTAGGTCATACTACATTATTTGCTGTCTGTTTCTAGAATAGGTTTCAGGAATATAAATTAAGTCAGCTCTTTAAACTTAGTGCAGAGCATTTAAAAATATTTGTAGTCCAGCCTGTGTGGCTCAGTGGTTGAGCACTGACCTATAAACCAGGAGGTCACTGTTCCATTCCTGGTCCGGGCACATGCCTGCGTTGTGGGCTCCATCCCCAGTAGGGGGCATGCAGGAGGCAGCCAATCAAGGATTCTGTCTCATCATTGATGTTCCTATCTCTCTATCTCCCGTCCTCTCTGAAATCAATAAAAATATATTTGAAAAAAAAATATTTGTAGGTGGTTCATCCATGGTATACAATATATTGAAACAAAATCACTTTGAAATATTCTTTTTATAATTTTTTCTTTTAGTTCCTATGAAATGTCTTTGAAGATAATAGGCACACCAACTTCAGTTGAATTCACTTATAGAAAGCAATTGTCATGGGATATAGTTGACATGCCAATTATATGAGTATATGATTTGGCTGGGAATAACTAATTGGCTCTTAGGGAACTGTTATCACTTTTAATCAATAAAGACTTCTGCAGGCTGTATCTGGAAGGTTTGAGTTGAAAGATTAATGAATGACAGTAGCATTCCATGATTCCTTCAACCCAGAAGTATCAATTAAATATAAGATAATGCTGGAAGACAGGTTTCAACTTTTTAAAAAAAAACTTTTTGAAATGTCAACTAAGCAATAACTTTGTTTTTTTGGTATATTGGCACTGCAGTGCTGGCCACAGAATAGGCATCCATGTTCTTTAGTTAACAAATGTTTTTGCTGAAGTTGGGTTATACTAAATTTTTTCACATTTATTTTGGAGGCTAATCCTTTATATAATAAAGAACTAATATGCTAATTATACCGAACTGCAGAATGACCATCTGGACGACCTTCCGGATGAAGCCGGGGCTGCAAGGGCTGGCTGAGGCTGCGAGGGCCGAGCCCCTTGCATGACGAATTTCATGCATCGGGCCTCTAGTCAATGTATAATAGGGAAATAACTGTTAGAGTGCATGCTGTATTCTTAGGTTTTGTTAGTATAATTAATTGCTTAACCTTTAAAAATAAGAATAAACTAAAATTGAATGCTAGCTGAACTATCTTTCTTTTTGGACTTTATAATCAAATTTCAATAGATGTATTTAAATATCGCCTTTGTGCTGAGGCACCATGGCAATGCAAAGGAAAAACATCCAAATCTCTTTTTTCAAAATACATAGGCTGTAGGAAGTTGCTCATTAGATAATCAATATGCCAGAAGTAATTTTCAAGCACTTATGGGGTTAATGAGATTTATTGATTTGTTTTATGTCATCCACTATATAACTCTTTTCCCCAACATTTCCTCCCTTCAGTAAGAAGACTGTTAGGATGCCAATGGTAGCACGAAGACTGAGAGATCCTGACATAAATCCTTGCTTGTTGGTAAGGCGGTTTGCTTTTAATTTTCATGAGTGTTAAGTTGGGAAAACAGGCTTCTTCTGATTTTGTGGGCATCTGTTTTCTTCAGTTCTTTTTAAAAAAATGTTTTTCTCTATTTGCTTTTTAATTTTAATGGGATTTTTTTAAATAAAGAACTTTTATATTTCCTACTCAGAAATCCAGTATTCACTTCAATCTTTTTCTACTATGTCAATTATTGTTTTTTAATTAATTTAGTTATTTTTATTAAAGTATAATTGACATATATTAGTTTCAAGTGTACAACATAGTTATTCAACATTTATATACCTTATGATGTGATAACCACAATATGTCAAATATAACCATCTGTCACCATAAGTTATTATTGACTGTATTCCCTGTGCTATACATTACATCCCTGTCATTTATTTTATAACCGGAAGTTTATACCTTCACCTTTTTCACCCATCCCCGAGACCCCCTCCTTTTGGCAACCATAAGTTTGTTCTCTGTATTTAGCAATCTGTTTCTGTTTTCTGCCATTTTTTAAAAGTTATTTCTGTACAAAAAAAAATATTCCTAACCAGTGTATCCTTATTTTACTAGAGCATTTTTCGATATGCATAATTTAGCTAACAAAGATTTATCTCCTTTAAGTTTTCCATATTTATATAATATACAAGCATTTAATCATCACTATAATGTTAAACAGGCATATGTAACACTGAGGAAAATTTTTAGTCCAAACATGGAAAGTTGGCAAGTATGATATTTTAATTTTTTTTTAAATATATTTTATTGATTTTTTACAGAGAGAAAGGGAGAGAGAGATCGAGAGTTAGAAACATCGATGAGAGAGAAACATCGACCAGCTGCCTCCTGCACATCTCCCACTGGGGATGTGCCCGCAACCCAGGTACATGCCCTTGACCGGAATCGAACCTGGGACCCCTCAGTCCGCAGGCCGACGCTCCATCCACTGAGCCAAACCGGTTTTGGCGGCAAGTATGATATTTTAAAATTGTCACTGAAATTTATGTTTTAATAGCAATAATTTCATCATGTCCTTGAGACCACCTGGCTGAGAGAAAGGGGCTGATATAGAATTAGTCTATTAAACTCTAAAGGTTTTCACAAAGGTATATGAACAAAATGCTTTGTTGAATAATAAGCTTTTTGGCATTTATTTGGTATGACTAGCAATACTTACTTCTGGTTTTGTCACCCTGGGATAATGTAATCATCAGACTAGTGCTATGAAAATGATATTCCCTAATCCTATATGGATTTTCCAAATATACACATGCATTAATTATTTGGCATAGAAATTTACATTTGTTCTGTATATTATGTTTTCAATTGCTTTATTAAGTCTCTTTAGATAGGATATATTTCTTAGATCCATGAAGCAAATTACCTACCCATTTAGTTAAAGCTTTCCTTTAGGTAGTGACCTCTCAGAATCATACCTTTTTCTTTGAAGTTTGTTATCCAATCTATTTCCAGTTCAGATAGCTTGAATTTCATTCCCAAATGGCAGCTACCCTCCTTTGAACTCACAGCCCTGTGTTGCTCACTTTAGTTTTGAAGTGATCTTAATGATATCTATTAAAATTGCTTACATGATAGTGTATTTACTTGCATAATGATAGCAAAAATACACTGAGATGAATGGTGTTCATTTAAGTTGCCTTGATGTAGACCAGTTATTAGTAATTTACTTAGGATCTCAAAACTAGCATTAACATCAAACATTCAAGTCAAAGTCAGAACTGGAAAAAGCAGGAGAGCTGCCCTCTGAGTCAAGAGACGATTTTGCATCTAGGCGTGCTGCAGTGATTTTGAACACGTTGCACCTGCCACCGCTTCTCTGTTAAACGGTTACTGGGTTAAATGACCTCAGTCAGTGCTTTGGCTCAAATTCCCATGATTAGATATTAAAAAAAACTGACCCAGACTACAAAAAGGAAGATGTCTGCCCTGTGCAGAATGACTGCTTGGGATAGTTGGAAAAATAATTCAGTTTTTGTTCATTACAACACACAAAAAGACACTATTTCATATTAGCTGCTTTGTGGAGGAAGCATCTTCAGAAGTTTTTTGGGTTTTTTTAGATCCTATTCCACCTCTTAAATGATGCCTGTCTTACATATTTAAGGAATCTGATGCTTCTACCAGATGTATGGATGAAAATAACTATGACAGGGAAATGTGTTCCAATTACTTCTTGAAGTACAAAAACTGCCGAAAGTTCTGGGTAAGTCTAGCGAGGTTAGATGAGATGGTCTAACTCATCTCTTAGGCTTGAATCTGAAGCCTGAAATTAATCAGTACCCACAATCCTTCCTTTGGGATGGCTGCAGGGAAACTTCACCTTTCCACTTTGTCCTCAGTGTGTTATTTTAGCTTAAATAATCCTTGAGAGTTCTTCGTTGCCTCATCCTACTTCAAGGTATAAGGATGCAGTTCTAATATAGGTGGGTCTTCCTAGGTGTGTAAGTATCTGCAGCCCTAAAACAATAACCTTGTTATAATTTTATTTCTCTTGGTGATGAACAGAATGGATAATTTGTCTTGTCATAACACGTATTAGGCTTCCATTTCTGCCTCCTGCTCTCCCACTGCCACCCAGGATAGTTTAAATGGCCCCATTTTTCGGGAGACATTGATACGCAATTTCTGTTTCTCTGAGCACTAGGTCCAGCTGCTTCATTTCTCTCTGCTAAATTAACTGATGGTTTCATTGAAGGACTGTACACTTGTGCTCTTATAGTTGAACAGCATGTCCCCATCCCAGTTACCGTTAACATAGTCCTGTGGGAATAGTCACCTCTACTTAATTCTTAATAGTTTGAAACTTAATCTGAACTCTTCCAATTAGTTTTTTGGGTTTTCTTTATAACTTATTTTTTTTTAATTTCCTTTTTGGGGAAGCAATAGCACATTGCTGGAAAATAATTAGCAGTTAATACATGACTGAATTTGGTTTCTTCTTTTTTTCTTTTTTCCTATATGCAGAATTCTGTCATGGTGCAGAGAAGACAGAATGGAGTGAAGCCACCTATGCCAACAGCAGCAGAAAGAAATGAAATCTTGGGAGCCATGGGAAAGATGCCCTATTGAATGTTTGCATTAAAATGATTTAACTCCAAAGGAGATAAATATTTTTAATAAATGATGACTATAATCTTTTGAGACCGTACAAACCTTACCCAGACAGATCTTATATTCTGTAAGGGGAGACAGACTTGAGTGAGCCATGTGTCCTTTGTGTTTGCTCTCAGTGCCATGATGATAGTGTGCCACTGTCGAGCGTGTGTGTCAGAGCTCACAGTACTTCCTGGAGTTACGGGGGTGTTAGGAAAGGCTACACGAGGAGCTGGGCTTTTCCTCTGGGTCTCAAAAGAAAAGTAAAGTATGAGAAAGGAAAGACTTACCGAGGAGGTAAAGACTTAATGGGGTGAAAAGAAGGCAGTATTTCATGTGAGCAACAACATGCTAGAAGGAAAGCTCGAGACAAATTCAGAGTTGTCTGTCCACTGTCCCACCTGAGTTTAAGGCGGGTAGAGGAGTAATGGCAGAGGAGACTGTGAATGGCCTCAAATCCGAGGCTCATTACTAAGATCTCTATCCTTACTTCACTCACTTATCTTGGTTTAAATTAGGTCAGGGCATTCGCTAGGCAGGAAACAGGGCTGCAGGAAGGTTGCCTTAAGTAAATGGCATGCAAAAGAACTGGCTTGGTTGCTTTAAGGAAAAGTATGGTTAAAGGACTCTGTGACTAAAATCCATAAATATTGGACAACCTTCTGAAGGCATAGTATTGAACTATGGTAGTGGGGGCGGAAACGTGATTCTCTTAGAACTAGGATTTTTATTTTCAGGATGCAGTGGGCAGGGAAGGGTATGGGGTTCATCAGGTGAACACAACACTGGGATGAAACTAGAGCTCAACTTCACTTGATGATATAAAAACAATTCATAAGCCTATCTTTCTCAATAGTAGCTTATGATCTCACTTATGTGTGGAATCTAATGAACAAAATAAACTGATGAACAAAATAGATCCAGAGACATGGAAGCATGCAACAGACTGATGAATCTCAGGGAAGCGGGGTGAAGGAGGGAGAGATGAACCAAAGAACTTACATGCATATATGCATAACCCATGGACGCAGATAATAGTGTGGTGAAAGCCTGGGAGGGTCAGGAGCTGGGTGGAGGTGGTCAATGGAGGACAAAAAAGGGAAATCTGTAATACTTTCAACAACAAATATTTTAAAAAATATTCAGTATAGTGATGAGTGGATTGCATAGCAGCTCTCATACCCTCCACTTTTAAAAATCCAGTTTGCTTCATTTATAGAGTAGTTTTATAAAAGACATTTAATAATGGAAAATCAACAAAAACAAACAGTTTGTGTCCCTTTTCTTCAGGTGGCCCATGATCATCAAAGAGTATAATTTTAATGGCTGCTGACAACAAACTATCCATCTGATTAGTCTTTGTCCAAAATTCAGCTCGGCTGTTTTTAAGCCATAGAGGATCGTCACTGGTACATGTGATTCTATTTGAGTACAATGTGATTTCATTTTGAGTAAAGTTGTATTTGAAATTCTGGATTGTCTCAGCAATTCTTTTGATTTGTATTGATGACTCTCAAAGTGATGAATTAAAATAAGACCTGACAAGAAGTTAATAAATACTTGAGTGAGAAGCATTTCAGTACTTTTAAGCATGCTGGTTTAAGGATTTGGAATTTAATGTCACCTCTTTCAATGTACATACCAATATCGACACTCATCCTGTAGCTATTTGTCCTGGCATAGCTCTTTTTAAAAATAGCAACTGCATTCAGATACAATTCATATGTAAGTCACCTCCTTAAAGTGTACAATACAGTGGTTTTTAATATATTGACAATATTGTGCAGCCTTCACCACAATGGTTTTAGAACACATTTATCACCCCAGAAGGAAACCCTGTACCCATTAGCACACATTCTTCATTTCCCCCCTAACACCACATTTCTTCACAAAAACATAGGCAACTACTTATCTACTTTCTTTCTCTGGACACATATATAAGTGGGATCATACAATATGTGGTCTTTTGTGACTGGCCTCTTAGCCTCTTATCAAGGTTCATTCATGTTGCCTGCGTCAGTACTTTATTCTTTTTTATTACTAAGTACCATTCCATTGCATGGATATTTTATTTATTGATTCACCAGTGGATGGATATTTGAGTTGTTTGCACTGTTTGGCTAAATATGGGTCATGCCGTTTCCTGAACATTTGTGTACACCTTTTTGGGTGGACATTCATTTCTTTTTGGATATATGCCTGGGAGTTGAATTGCTGGGTTGTAAAGGTAACCACATTTAACCTTTTGAGGAACTGACCAAGTATTTTCCAAAGTGGCAGCACCATTTACAGTTTATGAGAGTTTCAATCTCTACACATCTTCATTAGCACTAGCACTTATTACCGTATTTGCCGGCGTATAAGACGATTTTTTGGCCCTGAAAAATATGCCTCCAAGTGGGGGGTCGTCTTATACGCCAGGTACACTTCAGATAGACTGCCCATAGTGCTTGCCCCGTGCCATAGTGGCCTCCCGATGCCCGCCCACTTCATTCCACATACCGTTCAGGCATCAGCAGCGCTGCTGGGTGTATGCTTGGCTGTTATGCAATTTTGCTGTTATGCGATTTTACCACACTCGCAAAATCGCACACAGCCGACCATACACCCAGTATGATAGCGCAAAATCACGAATCGCGATACCATACTGGGTGTATGGTTGGCTGTGTGCGATTTTGCGAGTGTGGTAAATTCGGGTTACCGTATATTTCTTTACATATGCATTGAAGATTCGCGATTTTGCGCTATCATGGTGCCTGTTAGAATGTTGCTAGGGACTTGCCCGGCACTTGCTCTCTACCTCTATTTGTTATCTTACTTCTATCATTGACAGTCCCTCTAGGTTGTGGGCTGCTTGCCTGTGTTCCTGAGAAGCATCTACGGTACCAGTCTATAGAGTGTGTTTTCTTTATTGAATTACCGGTATGTTTACCGGTAATAAACTTGCACTGTTTTATGTATATGTTTGATTACATACAGCTGTGTGACAGTTTTCCTGCATGTCATAAGCATTTGAATATAAATTAAAATGTTAAAATCAAATCTGATATTGTTTTACCTTTTATTTGGTGTGTGGAAGGTGTGCGGAAGAGGGGGTAGTCTTATACGGCGAGTATATAACAAACTCTGTATTTTGAGTGGAAATGTTAGGGGGTCGTCTTATACGCCCAGTCGTCTTATACGCCGGCAAATACGGTATCTGTCTTTGATTACAACCATTGTAGTGCATGTGAACTGGCATCTCGTAGATTTGCATTTCCCTGATGGCGAATGAGGTTGAACATCTTTTCATGTGCATATTGGCCACTTGTACATATTCTCTGGATAAATGTTCATTCAGATCCTTTGTCCATTTTTAAATTGGATTGTGTATCTTCGTTATTGAGTCCTATGTGTACTAGATACAAGTCTCATCAGATACATGGTTTGCAGGGTTTTTTTCTATCCCAATTCTTTGGGTTGTATGTTCACTTTATAGTGTCCTTTGAAACACACATGCTTTTAATTTTTTAAAATATATTTTTATTGATTTCAGAGAGGAAGGGAGAGGAAGAGAGAGAGAGAAACATCAATGATGAGAGAGAATCATTGATCACCTGCCTCCTGCTGGGGATGGAGCATGCAACCTGGGCATGTGCCCTTGACGGAAATTGAACCTGGGACTCTTCACTCTGCTCTCTATCCACCGAGCCAAACCAGCTAGGGACAGGCTTTTAATATTTAAAAGATATGTTTTTTTAATTTTTATTTTTAAAGAGAGGAAAGGAGAGGGAGAGAGAGACACATTGATGAGAGAGAAACACCAACACTGATTGGCTGCCTCCTACATGCACCCTGCTGGGGATCAAGCCTGCAACCCCCGCATGTGCCCTGAACCAGAGACATCCTGGCGCTTAGGTCGATGCTCAACTACTGAGCACACCTGCCAGGCCAAAGGCTTTTAATTTTGATGAAGCCCCATTTGTTTTTTCCTTTCGTTGCTTTTGGTGTCACATCTAAGAAAGCATTGCCCAGTTCAAGGTTACAAAGGTTTACACACATGTTTTCTTCTAAGAGTTTTGTGGTTCTAAGCTCTTCTATTTGGGTCTTTGATCCATTTTGAATTAATTTTTGTATATGGTATGAAGTAGAAGTCCAGCTTCATTCCTTTGTATCTGGCTATCCAGTTGTCCCAGCACCTTTTGTGGAGAAGACTGCTTTCCCCTATTGAATTGTCTTGTCACTCTTGTTGGAAATCAATGGCTTGTATTTGTGAGAGTTTACTTCTGGGCTTTCAGTTCTATTCCATTGATAGATATGTCTATCCTTATGCTGGCACCACACTGTCTTGATTACTATAGCTTTGTGGCAACGCAAAGCTCTTTGATGCTTGGTTACTATAAATATGTTTCCTATAAAGTGCTTTTAATAACAAACTAATTATTTGGGTGTTTTTGATCAGCGAACCTTTACCATCTAATCATAATATGGCTCCACAAAGCTGTTAAATTTTAAAGTAGTCTACAGTAATCCCCTACTTCCTTCTTTGCATCTTTACACATACCCTGATAGCTTCAGTATACACGGCTTGTAACCAGGTTGTTCAAGATCTCATTTCATCACTTTGGAGGGGGAGAGTCCCAGGGGTTTCCCTTGCCAGCACTGTTAAATTTGCCACGATTGTATTTCTCGCTTTAAGATTCTACTTTGGGAGAGGAGAAGCTAATTAACCTGATAAATTAATTGTGTTAGGATGTTAGTGCCGTGAAAAGTTTTGGGGTTAGGCAAGCCTTTGATATTAACTATCAACTAAAAATATAGAAGGCATCTTACCATGTTCACATGCATCTCACTGTTGTAGGAAGCATCTCAGATTCTCCAAGCCATGGGGAGTGTGGCACAACTGTGTAGTGTGTAACAGCAATCCTTCGGAGAATTTGAAAGCTGGAGGATATAAACAATAGTATTCATGGTTATATCCGTAACCCGGGTATGCTTTTACTGTGAAAGAAATGTTCAACGAATGTGTATGTGTTTTAGGAGGGATAG